TTGTAAGCTTTTGTTTATGTTGTAAGTTTGTTGTCCTTAAAATAAAATAGTGTGTTTTATCTCCTTTGAGTGTTTCAAAGTCATTATAAGTAGTTTTTTTTATTAACAGTTTTCTCATTCTTGCTATTTTTTTTTAAGAAAAATTATTTTATATACACAGATGCAAAGAGAGTTTGGCTCTTTTATTTTTTTTTCTTGGTTTTGATTTTCTTCTCTCTATACAAAAAAAAAATGATGGTATTTGGTGTTAGTCAGCTAAACAAGTTTGATGTCAAAGAATTTTGATGTGCCTGAGAAGAAAGTTGTTGAACTTGGATCAATGAGGTACAACTTGTTTTGAACTTTGTCTTTTATTGTTCGTTGCTTTTTTTTGTCCCTTGTTCTTTTATAAATTTCAGGCTCTTGAATTGTTGAAAGCTTCTCTTCTGTTGAAGGATGCTCTTACAGCTGTTTTCCTTCCAAAGCTGAATCAAGGAAAGAGATGGCGAGCCAGTATAATCAAATTAGAGAAAAAGGAGTTGATGCGTGTTCTTCAATTTCTAAATTTACCATGTCTGTGAGGATGTAATTAGAAAATAAGTTGGAGAACTTTAATTTTGTTTTTGGACTGCAATGATGATCATTGGCCTTCCTTTTGAATCTGCCTGACCTTTTCTTTTGTTTTTCTTTGTTGCAGGGGTAAAAAAAACCAAAAAACTAATTAAATTGAGAAAATTAAAAAAAAAACTAAAAAAACTGAACGGAAAAAAAAAACTGATTAAACCGATTAAAATTTTAAAAAACCTGGTCGGTTTGGTTTCAGTTTTATAACTAAAAAACCAAAAAACCGAACCGAACCCAAACCAAAAAACCGAGTCAAACCGAGCTAAAACCAAGCCAAACTGGTTTGAACCGGTTTTCCCCTAAAAAACCGAACCGAAATCGGTCGGTTTGATCCTGTTTTGGTTTGGTTTCATGTTTTTTTTTTCAATTTTTTTTCACTTGGGTTATTTTTTTAATAAAAATTAAACCAAACCAAAAATTAACACCCCTACTTTATTGCTTCATTATGCTTTTCTTCTTTCATTTATCTTTCACTGTTGTTTTATTTTGAATTTTATGAGATGAGAATGCCATGGAATGAATAGTATCCTTTTTCTTTTCTCATAAACTTATGTTAGGACCGTAAATTTCTGCCCGAGTTCCACAAAAAGAATAACAAAGCTTAAGATGTTTTGTGGAGCTCCGTTTTTCAAATGGTATTTTATATTAAAAAACAATTGTTTTAAATTTTTATGTATATATATATATATATTGCTCGTTTTTATTTATTGATATAAGAAAATAATTTATATAACATAAAAAATATATATTATCTTAACATATTTCTAAAAATTATTATTATTATTATATTATACTAAAAAACAAAAACCCCGTAATTGCCTCACCTCTCTCTCTATCACTCGAGGTACAGCTCTCGCAACTGCCACAAAAGCAGCTTCCTCTCTTTTGCTCTCCACTCTATTTTTTGTGCTCATTGTACTGCTGAATGCTGATGGGCGCTCTCAAGTAGGCTCTTTTTATAGCCAAAAAGGGCTGCTAAAAAAAAATGCATTCCAGCTCCCTTGGTCCAGTCGTTGTGCCACCATCCTGGATAAATTGGGAAATCAGTACACATATGATGTTTTGAATAAATAAATAGTAAAATATAATAAAGCTTTTAATAGTTTAAAATATAGATATAAATAAATGAGGGGTAGTATAATAATTCAACAAAACTTGATAAATATAAATAAAAAATAAAAAAAAACAAAAGAAATGATCTAAAATTTGAGAGAGAATCAGCAAGAGAGAGAGAAGGAAGAACGAAAAAGAAAAAAAAAATTAAAAGGAAAATAGAAAAGAGTTGGAAGAAATAAGTTTAAAGGTAAGATTTTGTATAAATATGTATTAATTAAGTTTTAATTTTTGTTTTGATAAATGTTAGGGTTCTGAAAATTTCAGTTTTGGATTAATTGATGAATTAAGTTGAATGTTATGGGTTGATTGTTGTAGGTAATGAATTGTTAACTTGAATTTGAGAAATTATAGATAAAAATGATGATTTTAAGTTATGGTTTTGTTTGAATGGTGAATTTGTGTTAGAAATCAGGGGATAACAGTAGGTAATCTATGAAAATTCTAGGTTTGAGGTTGAAGATAACAAAAATTCAATTTGGTCCCTCAATTTTCGAAAATTACAGTTTAGTCCCCAAACTTTGAAAAATTTGTAGATTGGTACCTGGAGCCTATTACGAGATTCTGAACAGAATAAAAGATAAATTATGGGCAAAATTCCTGTATAGTTAGAAAATTTTAACACTTTCAATTTGGTCCTTCAATTTGACAAAAATTACCATTTAACCCTAAAAATTTGATAAAAATTCTAGAATGGTCCCTGGAGTATAATGAGATGATCTAGACAGAAATGAGGATTGATTATGGTCAGAATTTCAGTATACTCATGAATTTATGATAATTTTAGTTTAGTCTTTCAAATGGATAAAGTTACAATTTGACCCTTAAAAATATGATAAATTACAGATTAGTCCCTATCTGGAATGTTAGCTTTTGCAAATGAGTTTGATGAATAATTGAGGGTTAGTTAGTAAAGTATTACCGATTTTATTATTTTTTTTATTATGGATTAGATTTTGAGAAAATCGTTAATTTTTGGGTTTTTTGGAATATAACTAGTTAATTCAAAAACATATAGGGTTATATAATAAATCTTAAATAAATGTATAAAATAGGTTATATATTCTTCGGTGTCTGCTTTTGATTTCTGTTTTATTTCGAGTCAGGTAAGTGGATAATTGTCCATATGCATGAGCAATATTATAAATATTTGATTTGTTAATATGAATTGGATCATGTTTCTTGATAATATATATGGTGATTATTATCCTTGTTATGATAAGCATGATTATTTGTTGAATCCGAATTCTTGATATGAACCAGTATGTATTTTAGGTTGACTTCTGAATTGATAGCTCCTCATTTGATTGATATCATGAGTTGGGCCTTGAGATATTAATATGTCTGTTTAAGTATGATTGTGACCCTGTAGTATGTCAGTCAGAATACTCATGCTAACAGGGTAGTGTTAGTGTTTGTACATATTGTATCTGAACCCTAGTTGGTCGAGGGAGTCACCAACCTGTGTGGACTGATTATCCCACAGTACGGAGCCTCATGCTCATTACATTTTGATTTTCTGAAGAATTTTACCATATGATATTCTTGTTATGGCCTATTTGAGAAACCTTTTTATAAAAACCTAAATCCATACTTGTATATATATTTCTCATTGTTGTATTATCTCTTGTGTATATATTAAATGTTATCTACTCACTGAGTTGTTGAACTCAGCCTCTTATTATTTATCATTTTCAGGCTTATAGTTTGATAGCAGATCATTTTTGTTGGACCTTCAGAACCTATTTTTTTTTTTGTAATTCGTACATTTTCTTTTATGCCTAATTAGTGCTTCAAAACTATGAAATTATATTAACTCTTGTATTAAGACAATTCAATTATATTATGAAGTTGAGTTTGTTAGTAATGCTGCGTTGCACTCTGATTGAGTTAGGGTAAGTTTGTATGTAAATTTGGGTTCACATAGGTATGGAATCTTGGAGGGAAACCTTGCCTATATGTCGGTCATGGATCCGGGATTCGGGTCGTGACAACATATAAATAAAATAAATTATGAAATGATACAGAAATTTAACAAGTTTGATAAAATAATATATTTTTAAATCTCATATTTTTTTGAAATGTCATATTTTTTTTGACGAGTGGTTTCCAACCATTACATTTAATTAGTATCATGACTAGAATTGCCATATAATTTTAATTAATGTTGTGGTTTCCGGCCACAATATCTATTAATTTTATTTTAGAGACTTTATTTTTTTCATATTAATTTTTCAATGATTAAAAAAGAGTTTAAATAATTAATTTTGCACTGTGTATGTTTTTATATTAAATTATACACTTCCTTTTCTACCCTGAGAGTACACAAACAAAAAATAACTTTCGCTGCTGAAATCAAGAAATTAGTGGGAAGAACAATTAAGCAATTATTTGTCATTTCATAATATAATTATATATCTCTCATGAAGAATAAATTAATATCACGGTTTGAAACCGTGATATTCAAGAATATACTATTTTACCTCAATTTTTTAATTTCATCATTTATTTTAATTTTATATGTTAACTTTCCATTTTATGCCACAATCCTAGCCATAATTTCAGCAAACTTTGGGTGCAGAAAGGTGTTGCCAGCATGATGCTGACTCCATTTGTTGTCTTCAAAATTCAAAAATTATTTAAAAAAGTAACACAATTTAAAAAGTTGTAAATTATAAGTGATACACCACTCTTTTTAAATTGTTAAATATCCAATACAATTTACAATAAAAATTTTTAAGTATATCAAAATTTTAATAATAACACCACTACTTTCATCAAAAAAAGCTTAACAAAATAAATTTATTTAATCAAATAAAATTAATAAAAATAAATTAAATGGATCACACGAAGTATACAAAAAATAGATGAGCTTGCTTATTTTTGGATGGTTAGTATCTTTTTTGAAAGATTAGCGATTTTTTTTTTATTTTGTTAAAATTGTATGGTTGGAAACTTTTTTAATAATATCAGTAGAGTTATCTTTATGGTATTTTTTTCATTCTTATCTTATCCTTGTAATTTGTGAAGATTTTATTTTTTATATTTTGTTATTTTCATGATTGTTTTTTAACTGTGTTAGAGTATTTTTGACCATGTAGTGGGCTTCGTCTCACCATACCTTACAACTTAGCATCGAAGTCTTCTTTTGGTGCATGCTTAGCCTAGAAACCTTCCAGGTGCTTCCATAAAATCCTCTAGCACTTAAGCCTCCTGATAGAGTCTTTTCCTCGCTACATATTGAAACCTTTGCTTTCAAGTCGCCAACAAAAACAAAACCAGTGATCATCAAAGTAGCTAACAATGTCATCCTCCAAAATGAGCTTGAAGCTTCTTATTGATTCAAAACACAACAAAGTCGTCTTTGCTGAAGCAGGGAAAGACTTTGTGGATTTCCTACTTAGCCTGCTTGCTTTGCCTGTGGGTTCCGTCATTCGGCTCCTCACAAAATCAACCATGACTGGCTGCATAGCAAATCTTTACGAGAGCCTTGAAAAGCTGGATGAATCGTACCTGCAGCCTAACCAGAACAAGGATTCCATTTTGAAACCAACTATAACAACCCAGGTCACCAATCCAAGTTTCTTGCTTCCTGACACTAAAAAGCCGGAAGACCGGAAGTTTTACTATTGCTCAAGCCATCCAGGGTACGTGTCAGGTATTCACAACTCTGTTTGTAGTCATTGCAGGTCACAAGACTATGGTACTCGTTATATGAATCAAGAAGTAAAGTTCGTGCGTACGAATGTCTCCGCCTCCACAGATACACCAGCTAGTGATCAGGCTGGAGGTTACGTGAAGGGCCTGGTCACTTACATGGTGACAGATGATTTGTCAGTGTCTCCAGTGTCGATGGTGTCCGTTGTTGGTCTGCTAAAGAAGATCGAAATCAAGGATTTTATTTTGCTTGAGGAGAAGGTTGTTGAGTTTGGGATCGATGAGGTACAATGTTTTTTTTAAAATGTTATTCAGTCTTGGACTGTTCAATTTTAACACGGTAGTTTTTGTTGTAATCTAACGATAGTTTATACTATGTCCATGCTGCCTTTTCTGTCCCTTGTTCTTTTATACATTTCAGGGTCTTGAATTGTTGAAAGCTTCTTTTTTGTCAAAGGATGCTCTCACTGCTGCTTTCCTTCCAAAGCTGCATTAAGGACTTGGATGGTGCGCTAGTATCAAATGAGAAAAAAAGGAGTTGATGTGCGATCTTCAGTTTTTAAATTTACTATGTTTGCCCTTTTTTTTACACTGCTTTTTTCTTGGTCCTTGTTCTTCTACGTATTTCAGGCTATTGTATTGTTGAAGGCTTCTCTTTTGTCAAATGATGCTCTGACTGCTGTTTTCTGGATAAAGCAGAAGGTTAGATATTGTGATCCACCAAAATAGAGAACAAGGCTTGTCCAAAGTCAGACAGTTCTTTCTGATGTAAAACAGCAGCAGGACTTCCAGAATTATGCAGCACGAAAAAGGAAGAAGAAGTTGATGTGACCAGCGGGATCTGTCTAGCAATTCCCATCTTGTTGGGGTGGATGTTTTCTGTATTTTAGTGATTGTGTTAAGTTCTCATCCCTTCCATTTTTGACAAGTAGAGTTTGTTTAGTTCTGTTTCTTTACAGCCCTGGTTATCGACTACAGCATGACAATTCCATCTTTCAGTGTTTTATATTGTGCCTTGCAATCAATTTTTCCACAAATAACAATCACAAAAATGAGGGTGATAAAAGAGAATAAACACTTAATCTAACTCTAATCATGCGGAAATCATTGTTTCACTAACTTGCTAGCTGTAGCCTTCCAGTGGGCCTTATGTCAAGACTTTAGATTAGCCGAAAAGGCAAGTGGAAGTCAAGCCCAATACTGCAGATTTTGGTTTCTAGCCACGAAAACTGGAAAAAGATATCCTTGATTCTTGAGTAGCTTCGGTTGAAGTATAGGTGCGGATGGAAGATGGCACAGTATGTCCTTTTACACGGCCTAACAAGTTGGGCACTGTTTATTTTAATATTGATGAGGTTAGGAACAGACTCACCTGCCTGTTATTACAAGATTCTGTGCATACTCATTTACAGAGTACTTGACCTTTGGCATTGGAGATGTTTTAGTGCACATGCAAGACATTTATTAGTTTTTTATATATATATATATAGAGAGAGAGAGGAGAAGATTGAACTCGAGATGTTTTGAGGAAATGGAAAATAGTAATAAGAATTGAGCTTCGCAATATATGAATAAATTACATATCAAGCATGGTCAATCAGCAATGATCTGTAGTCCTGCTACAGATAGAACTAAAGATCAGCACATTGCCACTGAATTTCCTTTTTTGCTATTTGGATTCTTGTGCTGGACTTGCAACAATCTGCTGATTAAAGGATTTCCATGTAATATAGAACGTGATGAACTCTGGTGTTGGTCATTACATGGTGACAGGTGATTTGTCCGTCTCTCCAATGTCAATGGTGTCTGGTGTTGGTCTGCTAAACAAGTTCGATGTCAAGGATTTTGGTGTGCTTGAGGAGAAGGTTGTTGAACTTGGGATCAACGAGGTACTGCTTGTTTTGAACTCTGTCTTGTATTGTTCATGCTAGTTCTTTTTGTTTTCTAACGATAGTTTATACTACGTCTATGCTGCTTTCTTTGTCCCTTGTTCTTTTATAAATTTGAGGGTCTTGAATTGTTGAAAGCTTCTCTTTTGTCGAAGGATGCTCTCACTGCTGTTTTCCTTTCAAAGCCGAATCAAGGAAAGAGATGGCGAGCCAGAATAATCAAATTAGAGAAAAAGGAGTTGATGCGTGTTCTTCAATTTCTAAATTTACTATGTCTGTGAGGAAGTAAATAGAAAATAAGTTGGAGAACTTTAATTTTGTTGTTGGACTGCAATGATGATCATTCATCTTCCTTTTGAATATGCCTGACCATTTCATCTGTTTTTCTTTGTTGCTTTATTATGCTTGTCTTCTTTCATTTATCTTCCACTGTTGCATTATTTTGAGTTTTTTGAAATGAGAATACGATGGAATGATAGTTTCCCCTCCTCGTCTACATTTCTTTGTGTTGTACGAAGTCAAAAATTTTAGTATAAATGGTTATCTTAACTTGTTTGCTTTGCCTCAAGCACAAATTCCACCTTGGAAATCTGCACGAGAGCCCAACGAAACTTACTCACAGACATCTAAATAAATATTCGATTCTAAAGCCTCACTTACAAACCAAGTGTCCAAGAAGCGTTTCTTGCTGCCTTGCACCAGTGCAAAGACTCCACACCCGAAGCTTTACAATCCTTCTGGTCCATGCAAATGCCTATCTACGACAGACAGTCTTAACGCCATTTGTAATGTTTGCAGATGTTCAATGAATCGAGAAGTGAGGTTTATTGGTGCAAACAAAACCACCACGGCCTCCAAGCAAGTTAATTCAGATAACCAGAGTACTGGTGGTTTTGTGTAGAGTGAATTAACTCTGTTGCATTTCCTCGTCTTTATTGTTCTGCAAAGGGAGTGGAGAGTTGTTCACTTTGCATAATAGTAGAAAGCGTCTCAACAGTTTATGGAAATTTAAATGCATTGAAATCGGTTCGATTTAGTAAGGTAAAAAAATTAAAAACATATATCTTAAACATTGTATTTAAACTAAAAATTATTACTTAATATTATTTAATAACACTATATAATTACATTAGAAAATGTAGTAAATATGTAAATAAAACAAATGATGAGAAAAATAAATTTATTTTGAAATAATAAAATATTTTTGAGGACTTATTAAAATAACTTATATGGTCTTAGCAATGATTAAATAAAAAAAAATGATTTTTAATAAAAAATTATTTATTAATCCGGTATTAAATATAACTCTAAATTTAATTTTTGGATTGGACTAAAATTTTATAAAAAATCTTTTAATACATTGTTTTATTTTGAATTAAAATTTTAAGGTAATTGAAGTTTTGAAAGGCCATTTAAAAATATTAACAATAGTACAAAAAATAACATGTAAGCTTATTAATAATGTTTTTGTAAATAAAATGAAAAAATTTAAAATTCAGCTTTTTCTTTCCCTTTAAACCCCTGGTCAGTGCTGAAAAAAAAATAAAAAAATAAAATAAAAGCTCCTCACTAAAACTCTAGAGAGAAACAAAGATTTAAGGTCAGACAAATAAAAGAGGTAGTATTATTTAACTTAAAAATTAATGAAAGAATCAAGTATATAGAAAAAAAAGTAAAAAGAAAAAACTCATGATTTAAGAAAAAAAAACAAAAACATTTCACCGATTAATATTTAAAATTTATAACATTATTGAATAAAATGTTATAAACTTGATTATATAAGTATAAATAAAGATTCAAAAAATTTATATAAAATTCTTAAATTTTGATTCAATGTTTTTAAGTATTAAATTAATTAATTTTAGAATTAAAATGGAAATGAGAAATAAAAGTTAAGAACAAACTATGTAAAAAATTGTTGGTGAAAACCTCGGTTATAAATAAAAAAATAGTATCATAAAATTGTAGTAAATATGTAAATAAAACAAATGATGAGAAAAATAAATCTAGTTTAATAAGAAAATATTTTTAAGGACTTATTAAAATAACTCATATGATTTTATCAATGATTGAATATAAAATTATCTATTAATCAGTTTTATGTTATTAAATATAATTTTAAATTCAACATTTAGATTGGACTAAAATTTTATGAAAAGTCTCCTAATATATATTTTTATTTTAAATTAAAATTTTAAGATAATTCAAGTTTTAAAAGGTTATTTGAGAATATTAACATTAGTACAAAAAATAACATGTAATCATTAATGGTGTTTTTATAAATAAATTGGAAAAATTGAAAATTTAGTTTTTTCTTTCCCTTTAAACCCTTGACCAGTGCTGAAAAAAATAGAAAAACAAAATTAAGAGCTCCTTGCTAAAAACTCCAGAGAGAAACAAGGATTTAAGGCCATACAAATAAAAGAGTTAGTATTAACCGTATTTAACTTAAAAATTAAAGAAAGAATTAAGTAAGGAAAAAGAAAGTAAAAAGAGAAAACTCATTACTTTAAAAAGAAAAGAAAAAAAAACTTTTGACGGATTAATTTTTAAAATTTATATCATTATTGGGTAAGATGTTATAAACTTGATTATATAAGTCTAAATAAAGATTCAAAAATTTTATATAAAATTCTTAAATCTTGATTCAATGTTTTTAAGTATTAAATTAAGAAAAAGTGAAATTGTTATATAAAATTCTTAAATTTTAAATCAATGTTTTTAAGTATTAGATTAAGAAAAAGTGAAATTGCGATATTATTGAGATGAAATATGATGTAAGTGACATGAAATAAAGCATAATAATTGAAAAGGAAAATTGAGTGATAATTCTTAAAAGTTCAAGAGCAAGAAATGGCCATCCTAAACAAATGACAGCTGCACGCCACGCACTTAGCTTCTGCCATGTTCAGCACCGTCCATAAAAAAGGTTAATGGTCACCGTTGGATGTGACCATAAGAAACAAACACTTTAGGACTAGAAATAAAAGGTCCCCCCTTTATGACATCTCCTTCCTTACTATTGGTAAACATGTAATAATGGTGGGGTCATGCACAATGCTACTTTACAAGTTTAATTTCCTTTTTCTCAAAATTACTGTAAAAAAGCATCTATTTTGTACGCAGGAAAACCTTGCAAACCCATGAAAAGTAAATAGAATATGTATGTTATAATTTTGTTTCTCAATATGAATTTTTTTAAAATAAAAATAGTCAGGATAAGATATATTTTCAATAAATTCTGGTGCAGGGTCAACAAAATTGGTGTTGGGTCAGCAAAAAAAATAATCTGTAACCTATTTTTATTTAGTATATTCTGAACTATTTTTTTTAGTGAGCAACATCATTTTTTTTGGTAGATCAACATCGAGTTCTGTTAAAAAAAACTAGAAAAAAGTACATGTAAAAACCACTTGATTTGCTTGCTTAAAGAGTAAAGAATAATTAAATTGTTTTTTTATAATAAATTAGATTTTTTTGAAAAAATAAATGAATGAAATTAAATAATGCAATAGCAAAAAATTTAAAGGAAGAAAATAAACCAATTAGCCTATTTACATAACAACAGTGTTGTGTCCGAAACCATAATTTAAAAACATGTTCCTGCACCATACTTAGCATTGAAGTGATCTTCCTTTGGTGCTTGCTTGGCCTCGAAGTCTTTCAGGCGCTTCCATTAAATCCCCATGCACTGAAGCCTCCTGATCGAATCTTTTCCTCTCTATATATTAATACCTTCGCTTTCAAGTCGTCAACAAAAACAAAACCAACTTGTCAGTGATCATCAAAGTAGCTAACAATGGCAGCCTCCAAAATGAGCTTGAAGCTTCTTATTGATTCAAAACACAGCAGAGTCGTCTTTGCTGAAGCAGGGAAAGACTTCGTAGATTTCCTCCTTAGCCTGCTTGCTTTGCCTCTGGGTACCGTCATTCGGCTCCTCACAAACTCAACCATGATTGGCTGCATAGCAAATCTTTACAATAGCCTTGAAAAGCTGGATGAATCGTACATGCAGCCTAACCAGAACAAGGATTCCATTTTGAACCCACCTATAACAACCCAGGTCACCAATCCAAATTTCTTGCTTCCTGACACTAAACAGCCTGAAGACCGGAAGTTATACTATTGCTCAAACCATCCAGGGTACGTGTCAGATATTCACAACTCTGTTTGTAGTCATTGCAGCTCACACTATGGTACTAGTTATATGAATCAAGAAGTAAAGTTCGTGCGTACGAATGTCTCCGCCTCCACAGATACACCAGCTAGTGATCAGGCCGGAGGTTACGTGAAGGGCCTGGTCACTTACATGGTGACCGGTGATTTGTCAGTGTCTCCAATGTCAATGGTGTCCGTTGTTGGTCTGCTAAACAAGATCGAAATCAAGGATTTTAGTGTGCTTGAGGAGAGGGTTGTTGACTTTGGGATCGATGAGGTACAGTGTTTTTTTAATTTTATTCTGTCGTGGATTGTTCAATTTTAACACGGTAGTTTTTGTTGTTGTATAACGATAGTTTATACCACGTCTATGCTGCTTTATTTGTGCCTTGTTCTTTTATACATTTCAGGGTCTTGAATTGTTGAAAGCTTCTTTTTTGTCAAAGGATGCTCTCACTGCTGTTTTCCTTCCAAAGCTGCATTAAGGACTGGGATGGTGCGCTAGTATCAAATTAGACAAAAAGGAGTTGATGTGCGATCTTCAGTTTTTAAATTTACTATGTTTTCTTTTTTTTTACACTGCTAATTGTTTTGATCTTTATGTTTTTCCACAAATTTAGTGATTTTTATGTGTTGCATAATTAACGAATGCCTTGTATCAAAAGCAATTGACGATTCCAAAATTTGTCGCAAAAGCAGATTCAAGACATCTTTATGAGATGCTAGAACACGAAAAAAAAACATCGCACGGGATTGAGGACAAATCTTTTCTATCGTTCGGTCTTAGCACCAGAAATCAAAGAGTAGATGCTGGTTCTCGAGGTAGAAAATGCCCCATTTATGCTTAATTCGATATTGTTTTGTTCTGCCGTTTGTCCCTTCTTTGTCTTCTTGCCAGAGAAGAGCTTGACTGTCACATCGACCTATAGTTTCAATGACCAAAAGAATCAGAACAATCATCACTGTGCAATTAATGACAAGCATGAAGCTAACCTCCCTTCAATCATATTTCATCTTCCCCTTGCATTAGGCTCCTCACAAAAGTATCATGCTGTATATATAGACAGCTCCACAAGCTAGTGGTACGTAATATATTTGTCAAGAGGAGTATGGATCACCGAAGCATCAAAGAATTCGTGGATATCCTTCTTACTTGCTTTGCCTCCTGAGAAATTCTACCTCGAATGGCTGCATTGGAAATATGAATGGGAGCATTGAAAACTTTTTCCATGTAAAGTAGAACTTGCTGAAAATGTCAATTTCAAAGGTGCTTTTAAATTGCTTCGTAATCTGCTAATTTTAATGAATTTTGCTGTAGAATGCGGAAAACTTCAAGGATGAAAATAAGTGGAAGAACTTGATAACTTTTTCTACGAAATAAATGGAAGTAAAAACTATACTCTTCGTGGAAAACAGATGCCCACAATTTCCAAACCCAAGCTTAGTGGCTTAGACTTTATTATCATTTCATATTTCCAAATTTAGTCAGTATCATAATTTTATTTTACCAGTATCGTTCATCGCAGTTAGTCAAATACTATAGAACTTAATTAACTAATAGCTGTTCGTGGGGAATCGAACAACGGCTTGCATGGATGAACTAAAATGTCTATCATGGGAAATCCAGAACTTTCTTGCATGGATTCGACCTTCTCATAAACTATTTCTCATCCCCGTGCAGTGAAAGCCTCCTGATAGAATCATTTCCTCTATATATACATTACTGATAACATTGCATTCTGGTGGTCAATAAATTTAAAGCCAATTTGGTAGCCATGGCACCCTCCAAAATGAGCTTGAAGCTTCTTATTGATGCAAGCAAAGCAAAACGTTGTCGTGAAAAGATGTTGTATTATCTTAGACTAATAAGCAAGGATGTTTAGTTTATCATAACAGCAACACACAAAACATAAAAGAACGTTCAAGGTAAGTTTCATTGAGCTCTCATCCACTATAAAACAATTAAATGGCAAGCGTGAAGCAAACCTTCCCTTCGACCGTATTTCATCTTCCCCTTGAATTAGTCTCAATCTGGCAAGCAGCATGCGTATACACACCCAGCTCTAAAATGAGCCAGAAGTTTCTTATTGATTCAAAACACAACAAAGCAGTCTTTGCTGAGGCAGGGAAAGACTTCGTAGATCTCCTCCTTAACCTGCTTGCTTTGCCTTTGGGTACTGTCATTCAGCTCCTCACAAAATCAACCATGATTGGCTGCGTAGGATGGGAGCCTTGAAAAGCTGGATGAATCTTACCTGCAGCCTAACCAAAACAAGAATTTCATTTTAAAACCAATTATAAGAACCCAGGTCACCAGTCCAGATTTCTCGCTTCCTGAAACTAAAAAGCCTGAAAACTGGAAGTTATACTATTGCACAAGCCATCCACGGTACGTCTCAGATATTCAAAACTCTGTTTGTAGTCATTGCAGATCACAAGGCTATGCTACTCGTTATCTGAGTCAAGAAGTGAACTTTGTTGGGACGAATGGTTCCGCCTCCACAGATACACCAACTAGTGATCAGGCCGGAGGTTACGTGAAGGGCCTGGTCACTTACATGGTGACAGGTGATTTGTCAGTGTCTCCAATGTCAATGGAGTCCGTTGCTGGTCTGCTAAACAAGATCGAAATCAAGGATTTTAGTGTGCGTGAGAAGAAGGTTGTTAGATTTTGGATCAATGAGGTAATGACTTTTCAACCCTGCATTTTATTGTTCGTTTTAAACTAGTAGCATTAATTATTGTTTAACAATAGTTTATACTATGCGGCTTTCCTTGGTCCTAGTTCTTTTATGTATTTCAGGCTATTGTATTGTTGAAGGCTTCTCTTTCGTCAGGTGAGGCTCTGACTGCTGTTTTCTGGATAAAGCAGAAGGTTAGATATTGTGATCCACCCAAATAGAGAACAAGGCTTGTCCAGGTCAGATAGTTAAGTTCTTACTGATGTAAAACAGCAGCAGGACTTCCGGAATTATGCAGCACAAAAAAAAAGAGTTGATGTGACTAGCGGGATCTCTCTTGCAATTCACATCTTCTCTCTGTTAGTGATTGTGTTAGGTTCTCATCCTTTCCATTCTTGATAAGAAGAGTTTGTTTGGTTCTGTTTCTTTACAGCCCTGGTTGTCGACTACAGCATGACAATTCTATCTTTCAGTGTTTAATATTGTGCCTTGAAATCAATTTTTCCACAAATAGTAATCACAAAAATGAGGGTGATAAAAGATAATAAAAACTTAATCCAACTCTATTCATGTGGAAATTATGGTTTCACTAACTTGCGCGCTAGCTGTAGCCTTCCAGATGGGCTTATGCCAGGACTATAGATTAGCCGAAAAGGCATGTGGGAGTCAAGCCCAATACTGCAGATTTTGGTTTCTAGCCACAAAAACTGGAAAAAAGATATCCTTGATCCTTGAGTAGCTTCGGTTGATAAGAATTGGCAAATTGTTCGAAGAATAGGTGCTGATGGAAGATGGCACAGTATGTCCTTTTACAAGGCCTAACAAATTGGATACTGTTTATTTTAATATTGATGAGGTTAGGAACAGACTCACCTGCCTGTTATTACGAGATTCTGTTCATACTCATTTACAGATTACTTGACCTTTGGCATTGGAGATGTTTTAGTTCCCATGCAAGACATTTATTAGTTTTTATATATATATATATAAAGGAGATGATTGAACTCGAGGTGTTTTGAGGAAATGAAAAATAGTAATAACAATTTTGCTATAGTTCATTGGCAAGACCATTATTAGTTGAGAGATCGAGCTTCGCAATATATGAATAAATTACATATCAAGCGTGGTCAATCAGCAATGATCTGTAGTCCTGCTTCAGATAGAGCTAAAGATCAGCACATTACCAATGAATTCCTATTTTGCTACTTGGATTCTTCTGCTAGACTTGCAACAATCTGCTGATTAAAGGATTAAACTTTTTCCAAGTAATATAGAACGTGACGAAAATGTCAATTTGAAAAATGCTTTTAAATTGCTTCGTAATCTACTGCCGCTGCCCATCCAGGGCCTGTCCGGACTATACAGAAAATGCAAAGCTGTTCATGAAAGCTGCCACTTTCTATATAAGATTGCTGATATATGGCTCAGAGTTTTGGTGTAGTTATTGGATGTTCACACGGATGTTTTCTCATTCCCTGACAAGAGAAGTATTTATTAAATTAAAATTTATGCTTGGAATAACATTTTTTAATTGAGTTTAAGATAGAGATTTGTTAAAGTAAACTTAATTTAAAAAATCAAGAAAGACAATTATTAGTTATTACCCCCCAAATATCCAGCTGCTAATCATCAGCCGTCAACCGTTTTTACATTGTCGGCAACAACCACCTTTATAATTGAAGGTTGAATTTTTTTATTTTGAATTTGTATATAAATAACTAGCTGAATTGATATTATAATGTGTGAAGAGATTTGAGAGAAAAAAAAAAAAAGAGAAAAAAAAGATATGTATTGTAAACTTTTGTTTATGTTGTAAGCTTGTTGTCCTTAAAATAAAATAGTGTGTTTTATCCCTTTTGAGTGTTTCAAAGCCATCATAAGTGGTTTTTTTAATCAATAGTTTTCTCATTCTTGTTATTTTTTTTTAAGAAAAATTATTTTATATACACATATGCAAAGAGAGTTTGGCTCTTGTATTTTTTTTTCTTGGTTTTGATTTTCTTCTCTCTGTAAAAAAAAAATGATGGTATTTGGTGTTAGTCAGCTAAACAAGTTTGATGTCAAAGAATTTTGATGTGCCTGAGAAGAAAGTTGTTGAACTTGGATCAATGAGGTACAACTTGTTTTGAACTTTGTCTTTTATTGTTCGTTGCTTTTTTTTGTCCTTTGTTCTTTTATAAATTTCAGGCTCTTGAATTGTTGAAAGCTTCTCTTCTGTTGAAGGATGCTCTTACTGCTGTTTTCCTTCCAAAGCTGAATCAAGGAAAGAGATGGCGAGCCAGTATAATCAAATTAGAGAAAAAGGAGTTGATGCGTGTTCTTCAATTTCTAAATTTACCACGTCTGTGAGGATGTAATTAGAAAATAAGTTGGAGAACTTTAATTTTGTTTTTGGACTGCAATGATGATCATTGGCCTTCCTTTTGAATCTGCCTGACCTTTTCTTTTGTTTTTCTCTTGTTGCAGGGGTAAAAAAAAACCAAAAAATTAATTAAATTGAGAAAATTAAAAAAAATAATTAAAAAAAACTGAACGGAAAGAAAAAACTAATTAAACCGATTAAAATTTTAAAAAACCTGGTCGGTTTGGTTTCAGTTTTATAACTAAAAAACCAAAAAACCGAACCGAACCCAAACCAAAAAACCGAGTCAAACCGAGCTAAAACCAAGCCAAACTGGTTTGAACCGGTTTTCCCCTAAAAAACCGAACCGAAATCGGTCGGTTTGATCTTGTTTTGATTTGATTTCATGTTTTTTTTTCAATTTTTTTTCACTTTGGTTATTTCTTTTAATAAAAATTAAACCGAATCAAAAATTAACACCCCTACTTTATTGCTTCATTATGCTTTTCTTCTTTCATTTATCTTTCACTGTTGTTTTATTTTGAATTTTATGAGATGAGAATGCCATGGAATGAATAGTATCCTTTTTCTTT